GTTATACAAATTCTATTAAATGTGTTTAATTATGATTGAAATAGTTATATTACTATCATAATTTAGATGGTAGCATTAATAAAATTTATTTAATAAACTAGAAAAAAAAAAAAACTTAAAGCTTTGTCCCAAATTCCAACTTCATTAGCTATTCAATATTCAAAATCAAAATTTTGCCTCTATGAAAATAAAGACTGAAAAAAAAAAACAAGTAATCCGATCAATTGAGAACGAAGTTAAAAATGCAAATAATTTAGATGTAGATGCAAACTTTGGCCAGTACCATAAGAAAAATCGTTGTTTCTTTCTTATTAACTTGCGAATATAGCCATGCGACCATTTGTTAGACCATGAAAAAAAAAATTTGAATAGACTGCATTAGTGCATGCACATCATAGATGCACGAGCCCTGATATGTTTTTCTGTCACTTAACAACACAATTGTCTTTGCGTAAAAAAAAAAAAAAAAAAAAAAAACAACTTTGGAAAAAAAAAATCATTATTCTTAACATTTATATAGTCAAAGATTGCAATGTCCACAGGCTATAATAATAATAATTATTATTATTATTATAAAAATAATAAAAGATATGGGGATGGTATTGTTCATTCACTATAGCAGTGTCTTTTTTTTTTTAGGTGGGCTACTGGATCTTGAACGAAGAAAGACCAGACTTTTCTTTTTGGTCTAACCGAAGGCCCAGACCTTGCTTGGGTTGAAAGTTATTTAGTACTTTTAAGAGCATTACCCCTCCGTTTCACAGAAAAGTGGGAATCACCACAATAATCACTTATGAATTCCATTTTTATGATTTTTATGCAAGTAAAGGAATTTACTGTAGCACTGTAGTAGTGCTTTTTTTTTTTTTTTTAATACTGGCCTCCTTTGTTTTCCCTTTTTTTTTTAATTGGTTTTCAGTTTTTATATGTTCTCGGATGGTAATTGTTCCTCTTCTATATAAACAATTTATTTTTATATTTTTTTTTATCATGAAATTAGGTATGAAAATATAAAAAAACTCGTTATTTTTTTAGTTTTACATACAATTTGACAATAATAGAATATATATGATATTTTTTAAAATTTTAGTTTCAATATATATATTTAATTATATTATTTTTAGTATTTAAAATTTATTTCTTCAATTGTTTGTTTCTTATTAAAATTATCATCGAATTAATTTTTAAATTTTATATAATTTTATAATTTAATTAAATTTTAATTTTTTATATATGGCTTTTGAAATAAAATTTTAGAACATAATTTTTTTATTTTTTAAAATATATTATTATAATTTATACGATCGATTATTTTGATAATTTTTCAATTGCATATATAAATTATGATGAGAGAGAAAGAGAGCTAAATGTGTGTTTTAGATAATTTGACTTAATTTTTTTAAAAAATTCGTAATTAGTTAAAAAATTCATAATTTTTATTTGGTTATATATATATATAATTAAAATTTATTGAAACCAATTCTACAGCAGTTTTTATTTAAATCTATTCACTTCGATATATTTCATGCAATTTAAGTGGGCTTTTTATATATTTTTTATTTATTTTATGCACTCCGAGTCTTCTAAGTACAATATATATATATATATATATATATATTTCGATGAGAGAGAGAGAGAGAGAGCTAAAAGTGTGTTTTAGATAATTTGACTTAATTTTTTAAAAAATAATAATCACATAAAAAATAATTCGGCTCAATTTTTTTTATAAATAATAATCAGTTAAAAAAAATCATAGGTTATATATATAATTGAAACCAATTTTATAGTAGTTTTTATTTAAATCTATTTACTTTGATATATTCCATGCGATTTAGGTGGGTTTTTTTTTATATTTTTATATTTATTTTATATACTCTAAATATGTTAAGGACTATATATATATATATAGCTTTTTTAGAAGTTAATTATATCTACACACATAACACCATTTTTTTTTCATTTCTAAAATCTATATTTTTAAATAAAATAATTTAATTAATGTTTTGAAAGAACCTCTTAATTATTCAAATACAAATTTTTATACTAATATTATAAATTATTTTGTTAATAAATATATATAAATCAAACAAGTTTGCTGAATCTATAGATTCGATTTACATTAATTTTCAAAAACAAAACATCTATTCGCATCATACCATACGAATCGTTAACTCGTATATGTAATAGTTCTCTAATCGCAGTGTAGCGCGGTATCTATGTAGTTCTATTTATAATTCCTCCTTTTGTTAATCTTGGTCAGCAACATAGCTCATGGTAGGGGATAAGGTCGAGGAGGATCATGGGGGTAGTGACATAATGACACTCTCTCTATTCAAAAATAATAATAATAACGTAGAAAATTTATTATACGACTAAAACAACTAGGGTTTTTGAATAGTGTAAATCACTTGTTCACCCTATCACAAATCATCATTCATTACTATGGTTTGGGTTTTTTTTTTTTTTGGTAATTTTCAAGTTGTTTCATTTTGATCCCTACAATTTTAAAATAAAAATTTTAATCCCTTAATTGATGCACTATGCATGCCTCTTTTTTTCTTTGGTTTTCTTCTTTGCTTTTTTCCATTAATTTTTGTTCTTTTTTTATTTAATTGGGTGTTAACATTTTGAAAAATCAAAATTTCCTTTGCTTTTTTCCATCATTTTATGTTCTTTTTTTATTAATTGGGTTTTAAAATTTTGAAAAATCAATCCTAACTTTTTTTCACACAAACCGATGATTATATAATAAATTTTTTTATATTTTAAAATTAACGTATACTTCAGCTTATATTACTCTTATTATTTAAATTTCATTATTTGAATTTATCATTTTTTATGAAAATTCTCATCCAATTAATTTTTTTATTTGAAATTTTATTTATTGATAAATTTAATTTATTTTTCTCTATGTTTGAATTTTAGAATAAAATTTTAAAACATGATTATTTTTCTTTTTTTAAAAATAAATTGTTACAATATATATATATATATATATATATATATATATATATATATATATTATTACTGAAATGTTCAAAGTGTATTTCAAATAATTTATCTCGATTCACTAGATATAGCCAATACGTATAAAAAAAGCTGTTGAATCATTGATTTTATTAAAAATTAACTATACATCTTCCAACATAATACAAATTATTTACTATGAATATTTTTTTAACATTACAAAACCAATTTATTTGAAATAAAATAATTAAAATAATTTTTTAAATGAACCAACCTATTATTCAAATACCATTTTTATGCTAATTATATATATATATATATATATATATATATATATATATATATATACAAATCCATATACTTGAAAAAAAAAATCTTTTCACCAACATTAAATAAGAATAAAATTTTATTTTTTCATTGGTTAATTTTTATGCATGTTTATACATTAATTATAACTTTATTTTTGGATACATTCTTATAAAAAAATATAATTTTAAATTATTTGTTTTTGAATTCTTAATTAATATTTCAGGTTTTAATTATTACACGTTTTTATTTAAGAATTCTTGAATAAAGAAGAATAAATCATGTTTTTTTAAGTAGAAAATTATTATGAAAAATACACAAAAATAGTAATAATTGAATAAAATATTAATAAAAAAAATTATAACATTTTGAAATGATTTGATTCTATGCACTCGTAGCGTTGCGTGAATAATTTCAAAAATTAATCTTCTCATCGGCATAAAATAAGAATTTTTTTTCATTTGCTAATTTTATAAAATTCTATCCATTAATTACAACTTTATTTTTTGGAATATAATATTATAATAATTATATTTTTAAAGTTTTTTTTTAATTCTTGATTAATATTTTAGTTAAAATTATTAAAATATTTAATTTTAAAATCAACCCGTAAAGAAGAATGATTTATTTTTTTTAAACAGAAAAATTATAAAAAAAATAAAAAAATTAATTAAATTAAAAAATTTTAAATAATATTTTTATCGGATGCGCAAGCATAGCGCGAACAATCAGCTATTTATAGTTCTACATGGCAAAGATGCCCAATTCGAGAAATAAATTTAAATGTAATATATTTTGATAAAGAGTTTTTAAAAAAGAAGAAAAAAAAAACATCAGCTTATGACATACTCCATAATCCCTCTCAAAATTTGAAGTTTCTTAACATTACCGAGTCAAGTAGAGGATCAATGATCTTCAACTTGATTTGTGGTTGTATGAGTTGAAATAGACATTGCAATACAATTAATTATTTATCGTTCAAATCCAGAACCCTAATTGACTGCATTTTGCCTAGTTGGAACACGTCAATAAATGCACCAATTCTACAATTATAAATTTTGAGACCTATTCAACAATTTAGAAAATAAATTAAACTCCATCTGAGGATATTGATTGTTTTGCTTTTTCTTTCATTTTCTTGCTTCAGACCTTCCAAGCAGCTTCTTAATCTTGAATTATTTTTCTAATTGTCCATAGTTTACGCTGTTTAGACCATTTCAATTACGTTCATGTTAAGCAGAGAATTGGTCCCGGTACCATTTAATAAGTCAAGATTATAGATAACCATTAGGTTAAACCTATTTGTACAAGCTACTTAAATTTTCAAAAGTCATCGTATATGATTTGTTTGCAATTACTGGAGATGGACTAGTAGCCTATGACCAGTATCAATGACTATTTAGACGAGTGAACTGCAAGACTTTTGTATATATATTTACAACTACACAACTAATTCAAATATATCATAATGCAAAACATAATATAAATAGGCCTCGATTAATGCTTCTTTTTCAGCACAAAATAGATAAATGAAGAAATTTAAGTATCTATCCAGTTTAATGGAGTTCTACTGGTTTGGGGGGTTTGTGAGTATCCTAAAAGACACCAACAAGATATTCTCCACGAATGGAAAGCTTATGGCCTCCATCGCCTTATTGGCCATCCTCCTTAACTCTTCCATCTATGTATTCAACGTTCTCTCTTTGATACCATTAAGCAAAGTCATAATGGCTGATGCAAATTTATTACTTGTCACAGCTCCTGGGACCCCTGAATTCGCCAACCTTATCATCAATCTGCAAAAGGATTCCAGTTTCCTCATTGGTTCAGAATGGATTTGGCTTTTTGTCCATTTCGTTCTCTCTGTGTTCTTAGCAATTGCCACAATCCTTGCATCAGCCATAACACACGGCGGAAAGAAAATAGCCTTCAGGAATTTGCTATCACGGGCAGTGAGGTCATGGAAAAGGCCATTCGTTACTTCTCTTTATACATCTATTTTTGGTATTGGTTACTTTGTTCTTCTGTTGGCAATTCTGCTTCCTCTAGTGCTAATCATCCAACCTCCAGCTCCTTCATCTTTCACCGCCATTGCGCTCGCGGTTCTGGCATCAGTTTTATATATTTACATAGCAGTGTTCTGCATCTTAGCACTCGTTATTTCTGTTCTCGAAGAAATGAGTGGATTTGAGGCAGTTGGGAAGGCAGCACAGATTTTAAAGGGCATGAAGATACAAGGGCTTCTTCTATACCTTCTTCCATTGTTGGTTTCTGCTTTGGTACAAGGAATAAATTACATTCCTCTTCAAAAGTCGGTAGCAACTCGAATAATAATTGGGTTGCTCGTCATAATTCCTAACCGCCTAGCGGGGATGTATTTCTTGATGACATATACCATCTTCTACTACAGATGCAAGAAGTCCCATGGAGAAGAGGTTGAATTTCCAGGGATTGAAGATCAGTATGCCATTATACCCACTGCATCAGTTATCAGTGACAATATTGTGTAATAAAATAATGGGAAAATGTCTCTGTCGAAGTAATTTATATTTGTTGCAAATGCTTGTTTCTTTGCTGCCTAGTTAATTTGGTGAACTTTTGTATTCCATTTCACAAAGTGATCAGATCAGACAGTATTGTCTAACCTGAGAATTTACAGAGTATTTTAGTTTCTTTTTGAAGGAAAATATATAATAAAAGAAAAAAAGGATTTGTGCATGCTATGCAGTCCTCTATTGCCACTGTATATGATGCCCAACTGCTGGCTGGATCAATCAAGCGCCATGCTTGCTTAATGGTAATAAAAATATTATAAATCACCTATGTCAAATGGGAATTTGGCCAACAATATTTATTAAAGAGTTTGGTAAGTGAGAATCTGTTTGCAGATTTCCATAGTGGAAAGAGAAGTTAGAACTTAGAAGAGGTAAAATGACCTCGTTCGAGCGAAAACCGGTCCTGTTGATGTGGTCATTCCCGTGCGTTGCTCTCTCTTTCTTCGTTTTATGTTTTTTTTTTTTTTTGGTTAACCCTTTCCTTAATGGCAATTTCCTTCAGTGGAATTACCTCAAATACCCTAACTAGTGATCCTAATTAACAAGTCAAGTATGAACGGAAACTATATGAAACATAATTTACTTCAATAATGATAATTCATGAATAAAAAAATTTAAATTGCTACTTTAATATTTTTAATAATAACATGTAGTTTCACATATTTAAGAACTTATATTGTTAATTTATACTCACATGGCATACAATTGAAAAGAAATATTAAAATTAAAAATGATATTCAAGATGATATAATTTCAGGTGAAAAGTTTTTAGTAATTATAATTTTAAGAGTAGTTATCTTAACTATTATTTGTTAACTTTTGAAAGATAATTCAATTTTTTGTCCCGAAATACTTACTCGAGACCAGTTAAAAAGCACTTATATGATTAAAAAATTAAAAGAAAATAATAATCTGCAAGGTATATTAAATCTTAAAAATTTGGATAAGTTTAAGTTTTTTTTTAATTATGATGATGCCACATAGGATAACATGTCATTTTTTATTTAGTTTAATTGTTGTTTATTAAAAATATTGGAATTAGTTTAATATTTAGAGACAATTTGTACTTTACATAAAGAAAATGATGATATTAATTATGTAATTTTTTTAATTATGCGCAAGTTATTTATTTATTTATTTATTGTGTTAACTTACACGCAATGCATGGGTAATTGACTTGTTATAATTATCAAAATTTATATACATTATTTGAAAAAAATTCAAATTCAAATTTCTTGATTTATAAATAATTTTAAACAATTTATTAGAAATTATAAAATTTACTATAAATTAGCTAAATAATACACATGTCAATAAACTAATTTATACAAAAACATATTGGGTTAATGGTTCAAAACATCTCTTTTTTTAATCGTGTTCTTTTATTAAATTTTTCATTAATATCGTCTCTCGATGTTTACTTTACATCTTAATTTTGCTCTTATGACTAATTTTTCAGGTAATGACGTGATGAGAGATACAGATGATACTGACACATGGTTTTTTATATTTGATTTTCGAAAAGAAATAAATAAATTTTTGAAATAAAAAATAAAAAGCTCTAAGATGCGCCCATATTGAAAAACCCTTTCTTCTGTTTCTTCGTTTATATGGGGATTTGGGGATTTTGGTGTTTTTATAGGGGGTATAGCGGGTTTTTAGATTTTTCATTTTTGAAAATTAAATAAAATATATATTTTATGTGTTAGTATTTTATGCCTCTTTGGTCAAGATTTCACTCTTTTCTCTAAAAATTTAAATAAATGAACGAAATTAAAACATAAAATAAAATTAAGAGATGATATTATATAAAAATTTAATAAATGAACACAATTAAGATTTAAAAAAAGAAAAAGAAAAAGGAAAAGGAAAAAAAGAGAAGAGTAGTAGAGGAACCCTGTGAACTATTAGCCCAAACACTTATTAAAAGTTCAAAAACAATTTAATTGATTTGCAAAAGTAATGCTTAAAGTGGTGAATATCATCCCAGCAACATGATTGCGAACTTCCTTGTGCTTATTGTCGCTTCCTACAAGAAATAAGGATTAAGGATCAAGGTTGCGTTGGCATCGGTAGACTCTGTCCCAAATCAAACTTTGATGGGAGCCACAAGTTCCTAGAGACGGCATTGCGAGAGACGTGGTCAACGTTTCGTTAAAATGCATTACGTTTTTCAAAAGATCTAGGAGGAATTAACGGTGAACTTCCCAACCGTTTTACTGTTTATTTGAACAATGAATTTTTTTTTTTTTTTAAGCCAACGCCCTCTTTTGCTCTTTTTTCTTTGTTCTTCTGTAACCAAGGCTCTCTCTGGGCTTTCAGTAAACTTTTTATTTTATTTTTCATGATGGTATTTTTATGATTTCTTTATAGTTTTTTCATTCATTTTCAAATTTTACACTTCATTTTTTTTGTCTTTAATATTTTCAAAATATATTTTTAAATTCTCATATTTTTGTAATTTAGAATATTTTTACCTCACTTTTTTTCAAAATATACTTTTTGTTTCTCGTATTTTTAAAAAATATTTTTGTCCTCTTATCTTTTTAAATTTTAGAACGAATACATATATCGAATCAAAAAAATGTTTTTTTTTTTAGCGAAGGCCCTCTTTTGTTTTTTCTTTTTTTTTCTTCCACTTTCTGTAGCCAAGGCCCTCTTTTGGCTTTTAGTAATTTTTTTTTTATTTTCTACAATGGTATTTTCATGATTTCCTTATCGTTTTTTCTTTTCATTCATTTTCAAATTTTACAATTTATTTTTTTTGTCTTTTATATGTTTTCAAAATATATTTTTAAATCCTCATATTTTTAAAAATATTTTGCCTCACTTTTTTCAAAATCTACTTTTTGTTCCTCATATTCTTAAAAAATATTTTTGGTCTCTTATGTTTTTAATTTTAGAAAAAACGCATATATCGAATTATATTTTTTTATTGATTAAAATTAATTTGTTAAATTTATCGTTTATTATAAAAATTCTCATCAAATTAAATTTTTTATGAACTTTTATATGTTGATAAATATGATTTATTTTTTTAACTTTGTTGAAAATTAATTATATATCCGCAAACATAACACCATTAGTCCCTTCAGTTCAAAAACTATTTTTTTCCTTTTTTCTATTTCAATGTTTTTATTTTTTGTTTTAAAAAAAATAGAGAAAGACTAAACAATAGAGGAAAAAATATGAAAAAAAGACTTTTTTAAAAATAAAAAAATAAATTATTCATGGTCAACACTAACAAAAAATTAATTAATTCATTTTTCAAAACAATATGAACTAATTTATTATTTAATTTACAATTTAAGAATCTCTTTCATCATAAATTAAGAAGTAAGATTTATGAGAATCCATTTTGTAGTATTTTTTATCTCGGATTATTGATTTTAATATATTCCATACAATTTAGATGGTTTTTTTTTAAAAAAATTATTTATACTATATACTCTGAATCTACAAAGTATGATCTTAATAAATAAATAAATAAATAAATAAATAAATAAATAAATAAATATATATATATATATATATATATAGTTTCGTTGAAAATTAATTATGTATCCGCATACATAACACCATTAGTTCCTTTGATTCAAAAAATATTTTTTTTTCCTTTTTGCTATATGAATGGTTCTATTTTTTGTTTTAATAAATAGGGGAAGAATAAAAAAATATGAATATATATATATAATTAGATTTGTTATAAATTAATTATGTATCTATTAATTTGTAATTTATTCTTTTTTATATTCTAAAATTAATATTTTTAAATAAAATAATTGAAACATATATCATTAGTTTTGTTATAAATTAATTATGCATTTGCACATATAACCTCGGTTATTTGTTATTTATTCCTTTTTATGTTCTAAAATCAATTTACATTAATTATGAAAAATAAGATTTTTACCCATACTACACCATGCAAATCGTTGACCTTACATACATGATTGTTTGACCACGGTGTAGCGCGACTATCCAACTCGTTTACTCTATTATTAATTGAATTTCAAAATTTTTTATTTTATCGGTTTCACCTTATGAAATTAATATTGAGTGATGATTAAAAGATTTTTTCTCCAATTTATAAGTATTCATTAAATGTGTCTATTTAATGTGTCAAAAATAAACTCCATATTGACATTAAAAAATAATTTTATTGTCGGATCATAGTAAATTTCGAAAGTTTATATAAGCTAGTGAAAAGGAGGATAAAAAAAAAGAATTTTTACAATAATTTGATGTTAAAATTCTTTTTAAAGCATAATAGGGCTTGTTTTGGCATTGAGGGTGAAAACACTTGATAAACATTGTCGCTAGTCAACATTTAGGGCACTTCGAAAAAATTCTTTGAATTGAAATTGTTTATTGTGTTTATTTATTGGAGATGTGAGTTTAACCACGTTTTGAAGTCACCACTAGTATTAAAGGGACTAGAAAAACTAAATATGGCATTGGTTTAGAGATTTTAAAATAAAACTTGGTTATGCCTTTGGAAAGATATCGATCATTCAAAAGTATCCTTTTCGGAGGAAATGTACTACGTTTGGTTTCATTCTTAAAATTTATTTTCTAAAAATTTCTATTTTTACCAAATTATTTCTCAACCAAATTAATTTTTTTATTTTTATTTGTGGCATCATATTGAATCAATTGTCAAACCCCAAACTCTATAATCTCGTCAATTCAACATTGAATTCGACTTAAGTCTCAGCATAACTGGTATGTTGGAGAACGACCTAATTACTAAGGATGATTAATTTGATTTAATTAACAACATCGATCCCTATTGGATATGAGATTTGTTAAATTAACTTAGCATTTTCTCTATTTTTTTCTTTTGTTCGTTTTTTGTATTTTTTTCAAGAGTTGAACAAAATATGTCGAAACCACTTTATGTCCCTAATAAATAGGAGTCTCGTTAATCCGACATCACAACCAAATAAAAATCCACATATTAAGATAAAATTTATAACCTAAATATTTTTATAGTTTCTAACACATCTAAAATTAAATAATTGTCCCAAAAAAGATAAAAATAAAAAAATATATAAGAGAAACAAACAAAATGCTCACCAAAGAGAAAAAAATAGAGGTTCGACATACAAAAATACTGCTGGAAAATGGCAAAAATACCTTTGTTTTTGAAAAATAGCATAATTGCCCTTGCTCATTGTTGGAGGTTATTGTCGCCCATTTGATCACCATTCGGTGCGTGGACTACTCCATAGTGTAGGGGACATTTGGGCGGAGCTTATGGTTCTAGAGGTGATGGCCACTACTCGCTCGAGGGAGGAGATCGGAGGTTCGAAAGTTTCAACCAATCACTTCCTTCTTCTCCAGCCAGCTTTGATGGGATTCAATGACTTCTAAGGCTTCAAATCGGACTAGAACAACCTTTAGAACCTATCAGAGCTTCGTTTTGGTCTTTAAATGGCTTAATTTGGCCAAAAAAAGGGGAAGCAAGATGGTATAGGTCGTGAGTTTGATTTGTCTTCTTTGACCAAATTCATCAATTTTCAACATCTTCTTCCATAATTTCGAGCTTAAGGAGGCTACCGGAGGCCGGAGGAAGGTTTATAGGGTGGTGGCCGCCTTCAATTTAGCTAGAAAATAGAGATAAAATCGAGCATGGTCTCGAGTCGAATGGAGTGGATTTCGTTTCGGATCTCGATCTCCTCCGTCATTTTTAGACATGGAAATCGGTTGGGAAACGTAGATCTAAGGCTGGAATACAAAATGATGGTGGTTATTGGGGGTGACTAGCGTTAGAGAGTGGAGATTTTGAGGAAGAAGTGGCAACGTGTCCGTGGGTTGACTCGTGAGTTGTGAGTTTAGTCTTAGGGGCTATTTTGGTTTTTCTCTTTTTTGTTTTGCGTAGACAACTTCTTTTTTCTAGCTTGGGTTAGATTGCGAATCCCATTTGTAAGAAAGATGATAAATAGTAATTCTTCTATATTTTGGCTAGGTTTTTTTTGGATAGAAGTGATGGGTAGTTGTAATTAAATTATTTTTTGTGATAGGTGAATAATGGAAACTATGTTGTTTTTTATAGGAATATGGGTGATAAAGGCTAGAGTTATAAGGTAGTAAGATGAGTAATGAAGGCTAGGGCTTTTAGGTAGAAAGATGAGTGATGAAGGTTAGGATTTTTGACGTAGGGGAAATAATGGTGGCTCTCTTAAAAAATGAAGTGAAAAAATGTTTATATAAAGATATTTTTGGGTTTGGGATAAAACCAAATGTGGTTCTACCTTAGTTTGTTTTTTTTTTTTTTCAATTTCAATATATGTTTCATTATTTTTCTCCAATTAGCTTTTTAATTGAAATTGTTTAATCCATATTCTATTGATTTTTTTTTTTAATTTCACACTCATTAATTCTCAATCATGTTTATTTTTTTTTATCTCTTTTCAATTACATCCCTAATTGAATGTCATTCGATCCTCACTTTTCATATCATTTTTAATTGGATCCAAATCATCTTCCTAGTCTTTTTTTTTCTATTTTTTCTCTCTTTTATTTAAATAAAATATATTTTCTAAAATTAGACATAAAGTTAATAAAGGTAAAAATATATCAAATAAAAATGATAATGACAAACATGTGCAAATTGGATGAAATCTTTTAATTGTTGTTAAAGTTAGATAAATAGAAAGTGAAATTGTCTAAATTTAAAATAAATTGATAAAATCAAAAGCTTTGAAAATTAAATAATAATAAAATAATAGGAACAATCCAAAGTATGTCACAAAAATTATAGATCAATTTTTTTAAAAAAAAATCAAGAACCAAAATGTAATTGATCAATATTATAGATCTCAGAATTGTTTAAAAATTGAACTTTCCAGAAAAGAAAAAATCATTGATAAAACAAAACAAAAGAAAAAATCCAAGCTCGTTACTTATTAATTTATTTATTATTTATTATCAAAAACAATTATTTATTTAGATGTTACGCCTAGAACTTAGAAGGCTAGAACTATAAATAAAGAGTAAATAAAAGCACTGAAAAGGAAAGAAATTTTGACGATGTAGATAAAGTAGCAAAACAGCACACGCACACCCACGTAAGCAAAAAGCTATGGAGATGGTGTCCGTGTCTTCTTCTCGGCTATCCATTACTGGAAATTTCCTTCCTTCTTCTCGCCCACCCATACTTCTCAAGTAAGTTCAAACTCACATAACCCATTTCTCGCTCATTCTCTCTTCTTTTCTTCTTGTTTCGTTGTTTTTAAAAAAATTTCTTGGTTCCTGGAAAATTCAGCAGGATAAAGTGAGCAACGAAAAACAAAAGGAGTTTGATTTTTTATGGTTGTTTTCTTTATATTCATCCTCTTTGCTCTTTGAATGTTAAATATGAATTGCCATGTTAATCTTGAAATAAATAGGAAACTAAGTTAAACCGGTTGTTTAAACTTTATACAACGGACCTTTAAAGCAAAGAAAGTTCTCATCTTTTGCATGTTCTTGTATCAATTATGGTTATGTATTTCTGGGTTTCAGTTTTCATTCTGGGGAAAGTTGAGATATTAATACCAGATGATTGTAATACTTTAATAATCATGCTAACAACGAATGAACTTTGTTTTTCTATTCAGTAGCTGGTATTAGTTGTTGTTAACTTAATTTTCTGAAAAAATCTGTTCCCTTTCAGGTGGGGATTTAGAAGGGATCAGGATGGAGGCTCAGTTACGAGTAGACTCAAGAGCCAAGCATTTCGAATCTTGGCAAATCCTAATGTATGAATTGACCAAGGCTTCCTCTTGAGTAATGCCAATATATTTGGTTTGAATATTATCAAACGTTTTCTTAGGTATGTGATTGGTGATTTTATGCTGAATGCCTAGTGGTAGTGAAATTTTCGGTGGTTTGGGTTTTGAGTCATTTGATTCAGTTGAATTGCTGAGGTCAATGATATAACATATGAGTCAAATTAATAAAGAAAGATCTATGCTAAGAAGAAAACAGTGCATTGAATTGATTGCTTGGTCTTAATAATCCTGGAAAAAATTGGTTACGACTCTAGATTTCTTATTGTGGTTGTTATGCTTTTTTAGCTGAGCTCTCTTGTTTAGTGTTGATCTTCCCAGTGCATAATGGAATTAAAACATCGAAATGAATGAACACATTACTTCAAATGTTATTTGAGAAAAAAACACCAGGTTTGCTTTTTCCTTCATTAGGAGGGATAGTTTAGGAACATATCACATAGTGAAAGCACACTAAAAATTCCTCCACTTAACTCTCACCATTGTAACCTGTAAAGAACGACACAACTAATCTGTATATCCTGCACATGAGGTTCTTGGCCACCTATACATAAATGAATAATGAAGATAACACAATTTTCCATATGTGGCAAAGCCTCAGAAAAGCAATCCTAAGCTTAATGCAGCCAAGTCCCTTTTGCCAGATCTTATAGCCCTTTCAAAAATCTTTTCAGCAGTCATTCCTATAGAGGATTCATGGTGTCATAGCCGAACCAAATTCCAACCCTTTTTAGAATTTGAAGAAAATTTCCTGCATAAATTGTTTGTTTCAAAAGCATACCTTCAATACCACCTCCAACTAATACTTGATTTATTATCCATGACTGTGAGGTCTTAGTACTAAGAACTCATCCAGGCCATAATTGATGACCCTGGAAGCCTTCCTACTCTCTGTGTCTATGTTGTATCGGATGCTTCTAACTGCTGTAATTTACATTTCAAACTGTAGGTCGGAACACATTTAGTTTCCTAATTTTACTGCCAGTACCACTCTGCCTATTCTAGGAACACCTTTTTTTTTCTTGATATTCTAGGAGTACATATATCTAGATTTCTTCCTACTTTATGGCAAGCATTTGATCTGTATACATTATTGCCTTAGCAGCTTTGCACAAGGCAGCATTTGACTCTTTATGTGTTATGCAACGCAGGGAGTTCACATCAATGAAGGATGTGGCATATAATTTTGTCTCATTGATATAATTGTAGCCGGCTCCACGTTTTCCAACCATAACTTTCTAACAAAGATTGACGAGATTTGTATTTAAATTCGATGGATGTTTTCTCGGTTTTTCTATTATGTTCTTCTCTCTCTCTCTCTCTCTCTCTCTCTCTCTCTTTTGCTCTGAGTCAGATATGATTTTGTAGACCAACAGGTTTTTTATTTAAGTAGAATTGCCTGTTCCATGATGGTTAACGTGATTCCTATTTACTTGAATTTCAGGAAAGTTAGAGTCTATTACATTATTGCACTTGGCATAGCCAATGCTTCTTAAGGGGTTTTTGATTTTATCTAATACTAAAATTAGGAATTGAACCTTTAAGCAAAACTACAGCATTGCCTGATGTCATCTTACAGTAGATGTATCATCTAGGTGTTTTCATTTATACCTCAAAATTGTAAGATTGATTGCGTCTGTCTTGATAGAAAGCATTCAATGGCATAAATTTTCCCTGTTCAACCAGTTAGTTTCTAAATTCCTTAAAAGCTTACGAATGACTTGTTTAAGTCGGAATCTACCATGCTGTAGCTATAGCCTAATTGTGCTTTTAATCTCATGGAAATATGTTGTAAGATGATGCAAATCTCCCCTCCATTCATTTGCTGAGAATTCTGAGATAAGGATAGGAGCATTTACAGTTACCACAGCAATTCAAAAACTAAACTATGACGTGACTTAGATTGCTCAAAATTTTCAGCACTGACTGTAGTTAGTGAAAGCCTTGAGTTGGAGCCTGTCAATTGCAATAATGTCCTGTCATCTCCTGAATCTCCATTACTCAAATATTGCTCATCAGTGGATATTTAATATATGGAGAAATGAAGATGATCTCTCTTGTTAGGAAAGAAAATTGTCAAGCTTAATCTTGAAGTCCCGATTAACGCGTTGTCTTGAATTGCCCATAAAAATAATAGCTGCAAGCTGCTGTCTATTGGCAGTTTTCATATTCGCAGTTACAGAATAATTCTATGCCATTTTCTTTATGTTCAGTTTTAGCTGGTTTAAAGTAACAAATATTGTATGTTTATCTGAATCAATGGGCATTTATTGGAGTTGCAACTTGCAGTTCCCTTTTATTTTCATTATTGTTATTTGATTACCTTCTGCTTAACTTGTTTTTACTTGACATGTTTTATCTTTGATCTTTCCATTTTATCAATTTCAATTAGAAAAAACCCCCATTCTCTTGCAATTTTTTTCTTTAAACTGAATTATTCGTTTTTTCTTCTTTTACCCAATGATCCAGGTATCAGGGAACAGAAACTCACGGGAGATCATCATGGTTGATCCTTTGGAAGCCAAACGGTTAGCAGCCAAACAAATGAAAGAAATTCGAGCAAAAGAAAGATTCAAGGTGAAAGACATTCCGCGAATCCATTTCCTTTTAAGATGTCATGTCCTCTTGTCTAAAAAAATTTCTTTGTTATTACAAGATACTGATGACATTTTCATTTAAAATTGAAACTAAAAAGAAAAAAGCACCCTGTTTCCATGAAATCGATCTTGGCTTTCCTTTTTAGGTTTTAGGCTTGCATGTCTGATCGTTTTCCCTAATGAAGTTTTCCCCTCAAGAAAGAGCAAGTTTGATGTTTCACATCTCTCTGTTCTTCGGTTTGAGCTACAGTGTAGCCAATGCTCATCTCTGCTAGCATAAGCAGACAGTAATATTAAAATTAATAAAATACGGAGGAAGGTGATATGCTTTCTCATTCCCCATAAAAGTACCTAGATATATTCTTTATGCCCTACCACTTGGACCAGTATTTAGGTTTGCATGGATGTCCAAGCTATTGTTAATTTCTCTCCCCTTCCCCTTCCCTTCCTCTTACAATATTGTGAAATTTCGTCTTGCCAAAGGTGACTATCATCACTGCATTTTTAATTTTTCATTGATCAAATCAACCTTAATGTCTATCTTTTTTGTTTTGGTTGAACCTTAATGTCTATATTAAATCTCGGTAAGTTACAATTTAGTTGCAAATAATGTTGCTACAACAGAGACGGCGCCGAATTGAAGCGATTAATGGAGCATGGGCAATGATTGGCCTCACAGTAGGCTTGGTCATTGAAGGTCGCACTGGAAAAGGCATACTGGATCAGGTAAAGTTTGTTTTCATTGATTGCGGTCATGTCAGTAGGTCTGTGCATTGGTCATTCTTATGAACATGGCTAGTTATCCTTTCAGTGACTGGATACTGTTGCCTATTATTAATTTGATTAATTGGCCTTTCTTTTTTCAGTTGGCTGGATACTGGTCTGCCATTGTCCATTTTTTTGTGCGGTAACATGATCTGAGGAACAGTGAAAACATGGAGATTCTTTGTTTTAATATTCTTTTGAAATTAACCTTGTAAAATTGTCTGAAAATTGTTGCTTCAAGTCACAAATGTTGTACCATTTACTTCGTTCTGATTCCATCAATTTAAAGATGACCTGCTATGAACCATGAACACGGATACGAATACACCACAATATGCATATCACGTATACCACCATATGCCTATCGTGATATGGTAATTTTAAAAAAATTAGGATAACATTTAGGAGATGTTTATTTTTTTAATTATTTTTTTATTATACAAAAATATATTGTGCACGGGAATAAAAATCAGTGCTAAAATTCAACATGATGAATTATCTAGAAAAATATATGAAAGTATAAATAGATTTCATTTTATTTATTTTTTCTTTATAATTATAAACAAAATTTGGATTTCTAAAATATTAATTTATCTTGAAAAAAATTATAGTAATAATTATATATTTTCTTTTATAATTAATAATAAATTTATCTTGAAAAAGATTGTAGTAATAATTATAACATAATCAATCACAATTTTATTCTTTTTACTTTCAAATTTATTTAGTCTTGCAGATCTTTCTTTAATTTGTCATGTATAAAAAAATCAATAATTTGTTAATCTAGAAATAACAATATCATATCTTATTATAAAATTTATATAAAAAATTTATGATGCTCAAGTTTTTACTTCAAATACATCTTATATAAAAATATTATCATATCAATTCTCATTGTTTAAAAATTTTATAAATTAGAATTAATTAATATAAAAATATTATCATATCATCAATTCTCATTGTTTAAAAAATTTATAAATTAGAATTAATTAATTAAAAATATTAAAGTAAGATTATTTTTAGTTAAATGTTTGGATTTTTTTACTCAAAAAACTTAAAATCATATTTAGATTTTTATTTTTTAAGAAAAATACAAATTTAACTTCAAGAAACATATCTTACTTATCTCTTCGTGTCCTGATTGTATCCTTCACGTGTCCTGTTGTATTTCTTACATCTGAATTTGTGTTTATTTTGTATTATTATTTTACTATATCCTCACGTATCTAATATGTATCAGGTTGTATCCATTACGTATACATATCTGATATGTATTTGACGCGAATATGGAAGCTTTAGTTGAAGTATCTATGCTTTCTAGATGGTTTCTAAATGACCTATTTATAACATGTGGCAACTTTGTTTTATTTTTCCTTGTTGATGGGTCTAATCCTATTACCAAGTCATAACTATTTGATTAGTTATTTAGTCATGAAAACATCTTAGTAAATTATAAATTACTTCCTCTCGTTTTGAGAAACAATTAATTAGTAGTTTCTTTGGTTTCAAAAATTAATTATATAATTTTTTTTAATCAGTGTTGATTATGATTAAATAAATATTTTTTAATTTTATAAATTGTCTTCTTTTATCATTCATCTTTCCATAATTTTACTTATATTTTATTCTTTTTTATTTCTTAAAACAAAAAATTAAAATAAATTGAAAAATAGTAAAAAGATTAAACAATTAGCTTTTAAAACCAGAAGGATTAATTAATTTGTTTTTTTGAAGCGAGAGGGTTCAATTTATAATTTACTAAAAAACATCCTTACTCTTTTAACCTCTTCTTGAAAAAAATATATATATATATTTGCTCGCTTGGAAACTTTATGGGCTTTCTTAGCATTTCGAAAAGATGGTTTCATGGTTCTACTTATCCTGTCTATAATTAGTTACAGAAATGAATTGTTTTGTTGTGCCAATAATTGCTCATGGGTCCTATCTAATACTCACCTACAGGTCTCAAAAACTAGGAAACGGTTGTCATTTTGAACTGGGAAACCACCTTTCAGATCAGTGAATTTTGATGAGTGGCCTAGACAATCCTGTCACGAGCATTTTGGAGTAAGCCATGGACATGGAATAGAGCAGGCCTTGCTTGAAACTTTAAAGACTATTTCCCTTCCCAAATTCCAACCAACCTTAGGTCCAGACAGTCCTGTCACAAGCATTTTTTATAAGGGATGCTCGGCTGCCGTTCAGATTCAAATCAAAATGATTTTCTTCTTTAGAATGTGCTTCCCTTTAAAAGGTTAAAAAAATATATATTTTGACGAGGCCCATGATAGATATTCCCTAGACAGGCTTCCTTTTAAAAACATCTATCTACAATTCAGCTCAAAGATATCCTCAATTGCGAACGTCATTTTTCACGTCTCAATAATGGAAGCTTCAGTGACTAAAGTCTTCTTCATGCCATTCCTATCCACAAGTCTACCAATGGCATCGTTATAGTTTGCGTACTCTGAACACTCGAATTTAAAGCTTTTTAAAGCATTTAGGCCCTTAAACAATGGCAAGTTGCTATGTAGATTGCTTGCGCCTAGCCAATTAGCCATGTGACTCTTCTGAACTTGGGATGGTCCCAGATAAAAATAGGCAGTTTTTCATGGACGGAAGTAACCCATTGATAGAGGAACTAATGTTATCTTTCGTTATTATGGCTTAACCATGGGATTAATACTGATGGTCCAAGAAACCACATGTATCTTTCTGCTTAAAGCTTAAAGCCCATAGGCCCCTATATTTCTAGCCTTTCACTGCCGCTTCTTTACACTTCCTTGTATTAAAGCACATGCAGAAGTTTGCAAGCTTAGCAAAGCAAAGGCTATCTAGGAGACCATAATCAAAGCCTGAGTTTTAATCTCCTCCATCGCGCAGGTTTATCATGCATGGACATTAGATGTTCCAACTTGACATGATGGTATAGATGCCTAAAATGGTCACGGTACCAAAATTTTGAGGTTTCAAGCAACTTAAAGCCTCTTTTATTTATTTTGGCAAATTGCAAGCCTAGAAGCAGCTGTATTGTGAGATTTGAAGTAATTATAGAGAGTGAATATTATGGGTTACGCAATCTAGATTCAATGGCCACTTTGCAAGAGCAAAGTCTAGTCTATCAATTTTTATTCAATGCGTGCTGCGTTTAGTCTCTACACGGGGCGCAAAACACAAGTCCATTTTCAATGTATACAAAAGAATTTTTTTCAATTCTTTTTTTTTTCCATTATAAATTCAGTTTTGGAGCTACTCTGATTGTGATTCTTAAGCAAGCCTTATTTTCATAGTCAATATTCTTTTTTTTTCAAAAAAAAATAATAATAATAAAAATGGATCATGAAGGGTTTGACTAGCCGTGTGTTTTGGAAAGAAGGGGACACGAAATTTCCCAATCATATAACTTGTGATTGTTGATCATCCAAACCAACAGAGTAAATTGACTCTCTCTTCCTCTTTAGGTCTTTACTAATAAAATTAAGTAGCAATAAGAATTGGTTCGACCTTAACATGCCCAATTGACAAGAATTCAATTGCTTAATTGGATAGTGGTATTATAAATAGAAAAGGTCAGAGGTATTATTGATGATCATTCAAGCATCCAACTGCCAGTCTTTGAATAGGATTCATACCAAACTGGATGGTATATGATGCAACACAAATCCAAACCCCCCAAGGAAATTAAGCTCCTGTTACCCACATCTACTTACTTAGGTCCAACTATAAATCAAGCTTAAAGGCACATGTTTGTTTTAAAGACGACATATAAACAGTAATAAAAAAGAAAAGGCTATTTCTCTCACGATAAACATCAACATTCTACAACGACTTTTCTCCTTCTTTAAACTTTTAATCAGAGTCAAATTTGACAATTCTTGGATTAATATTATAAGGGGGAAAAAGAGGGGGTTTGAAGGTGTATGTCACCAATGGGAACAGCTTCCTAGGAAAGGGCCTTGTTGAATTAACATTCAACACTCAACAAAGATACGGATAGGGATTGGGATGGGGATAGACAAATGCTATCATATGCGAATTAATTAAGACTTGGGAAATTTCGTGTCAAAGTTAGACCAATATATAAAGTTCGAGACCCACATCTTCTCGCAAACGTGGCTAATCACAACAACTCCATCCATTCAAATTTAAGCAATTGACCCTTCTCCTTATCCAATCTTGTTCCAAATCTTGGTGGGGCTAATGTCAATTACTTCCAACAATTCAACTAGATATATCAGCACCCCCTCCCAAAAAAAAAAGACTTTGTATTAATTGACTAAAACCCAACTCTGCCTAATCACAAGTCATACCAAATGTTTCATCTAACCACTGGTTTTGCAAATTGACAAAAAGATTTTTAGCACTAATCCTCGTGTGATACGTGAAGGATGAAGTTTGGAAGTTTGATTGCCAATTGCGTGTGGTTTGGATTCAAAGGACATTCAACAGGTCATGGAGGCAGAATAAATTTTTTTTTTAATGGAAAATCAGCTGGAAACAACTTGGACGGAGCTGGCTTTTGGGTTCCCCCACAGATATTTTTCCATCTTTCTGCTTAGACCATCCATTAGGAATCAGGCACATCAGCATAAATTATTAAATTGAGTGCTACATAACATGGAACTATGGAAATGCGATTCATACCTAAAAGGGAACTAATAAATAGGGTAGACATCGCTAATTAAAAACCAATTTACGTTTCCCACATGCATTTGTCTAAACGATGTTTTTAAAAGCCTGTGGCCTGTGGTTTGTTCAGTCGGCAAACAAATGGTTACAGCGATAAAATTTACTGATATTTATCTGATATGATATGTATAGTTGCAACGAAGTTTCTTCTCTCTCCCCCTCTCTTAATTTCTTGAATTTAAAATTTAAGAGAAAAAAATATATATATATATATATATATATATATATATATATATATATATATATATATATATATATATTAATTTTTGTTGGGGATAATTTGAGCTGTGTCTTTTAAGATTGAAATGTACAGCGGTGGGGTCCATGTTAGATTGGCAGATCATGGTGGAATCCAATAGAAACATCACGCCCTCAAAAAGTTATTGGTGTGGTGTAAACTTGGAGAATTGCTCTTCCTATTTGGCCTGTCTAGAATTTGCTTTCACTAATGTCAATCACTCAATCTTGTTTCTCAGATGAGTTGGTTTATTATGGTTGTCTAATTTCTTTTTCAGCGTTTTGGATTTGATTCCTTAAAGTTTTAGTTAGATTTTTTTATAGATATAGTGAGCCAGGATGAAGACATAATTCATGAAAAACGATATAGAGAAGACCTTGTATTCATAACGTTTCACGAACATTTATTTAAAAAAAATGTTGCTGCTTAAGTGACTAAACATTATCATACCTTATTGTTAGTAATATTATTACTGGTATTGAACAGTAATTCAATTGGCATTAGTCAATTTTTTCTTTCAAAAAATTTTAAATTCTAACCTCTTCTTTAATAATTAAAAGTAATACTACAAAATTGGAGTCGATTACAAAACGTATAATTAGTTACTATAAGGTAAGTGTTTACTGTGCCTATCATTTAATGGAAGTTTTTATTTTATTTTATTACATATTTATTCAAAATCTTTATTTATATTCTCATAATGAACATTTAAACTATTAGGAAATAAGATAGATTCGGGATTTATTTTTTATGATCAATTTGTTAAAAATTTATTTTCAAAATATCTACAACTATGCATTGAGGTGTATCTCTTAGCTACGTCCAATGAAAAATTAGTTCAAGGTATGTAAAAAATGACTTGAGAATATCTTTATTGGAAAAAAAAAATCTTGAAGAAGAAAAAAGTGATGTAACCAATCTTTCAAATAAAAGGGCACTTGTGTATAAATATTATGTGTGAAACAAATTTTACAATTTTAGTAAAAATATAAAAAATAAAGTAAAATGATGATCACTATATATTATAGTGATGAGATAGTGATAATGGTGGTAGAGTGATGGTATTAGTAATGGTTTTGACAATGTTATAGTGATGAGATAGTGATAATGGTGGTAGAGTGATGGTATTAGTAATGGTTTTGACAATAATAGTTGCAGCAGAATGGTGGTGGTAGCAAAAGTGAGAGAGATAGCAGTTGTAGGATGGTTGTGGTGGTGGAGGTGGTAGGTGAGGTGACCACATATGTAATGTAGTAATAATTGAAAAAATTAGATGATATTGTGGATTAATTATTGTCCTTAGAATATTTTATAAAAAAAAATTGAGTTGAAAGTACTTTTTAATAAATGAACTAATTTTATAGGTTAATTGTAAAATATTTTATAATAGACTAATTTTTTTTGTAAAATATTTTAGGCAAAACAAATGCCTTTTTGAAAAAAGCTGATTTATATTAGAATTGTGTTATTCTTACTTCATAATTTATTAATCCCACCTCGTAATTACTTTCTTACTTAGATAAATCAAATTAACCCAAATTGGATTTTCAATGTTATATTGATAACAACAAATGATCATATTAAATGCTGATGTTATATTTATATATAGAAAATATAGTTAAAAATAAAAAGTCTTTTTTTATATATAATAAGGATATTCAGATTTTATCATTTTTTATCATTAACTATCATCAAATTTAATTATTATTTTTTATAGAAAAAAAAAAACAAGAAGAAGAAGGTGTGTGCTTTGAAGTTGGCACTTGGATTTCCAATATCCACATCATACATCACTTGTCTATGTTTATAACGTATAAAATCTTACATATGCCCCTCATTAGAGCCATCATACGAAACCAATTTCCTTTATCTGCTGCCTTATCTGTTGAACTTGGATTTTCGACTAGGGACAGGCACACAATCAAACAAGCATTAAAAAAAAAAAACAAAAAACAAATTAACAGTTTTAAACTAATAATATTCTTAGACGTAGAACCTTCGATGGACTAAAGAAAGATTAGGAGCAAATAAGATTATTGTTCAAATGCTTTTCTCAGAATCAGTATCGTAATTTAAACAGATGTAAATTAAGAAGGTTATCAGAATTTGATCCCATAATCTCTCAAAATAAATATTAATTTGCTGTGGATATATTGGTACCACCAATATTGCTATTTATACATACTAACAAATTATAAAAAAAAATTCATGCGTAAATTGTTTTTTTCACAACTAATTATTTACCAATTATGAAATCTATAATTCATGACATTTTCCTTGTCATATATTACGTGTTTGTACTTTGTAGATATATATCAATAACTTATGAATTTATCATTTTCCAATCGTATTCAATGGACACAAATTAGTTTTAAAATCGAAAGTTTTAAATTTTTTATTTTTTTAAAAATTAAAAATACAAATATAAGTTGAATGGCTAAAAGAAAAAATGAGAAATGAGATTTGAACTTTGAGATATGTTTTTCTTAAATATAAAATATTATGTTTATTTTATTTTTCAATCATATTAAGTGAATACAAATTAATTTTAAAATCGAAAGTTTCAAACTCCTTATTTTTAAGGAATCGAAAAAAGAAACGTAAGCCGTATGACTAAAAAAAATATATAAGAAATGAGATTTGAACTTTGAGACATGTTTTTCTTAAATATGAAATATTATGTTTATTTTATTTTTCAATCATATTAGTAGACACAAATTAGTTTTAAAATCAAAAGTTTCAAACTTTTTATTTTCTTGGAATGGAAAAAACAAAGGTAAGTGGTATGGCTAAAAAAAATATATGAGAAAGGAGATTTGAAGTTTGAGACATGTTTTTCTTAAATATGAAATATTATGTTTATTTTGTTTTATTTTTTATACATAAAAGGTATGCAGATCCGAACTCCAACTATGTTAGGAGGAAAAAGGACGTCAATGTCAGCTTAACAAACCTTCGTTGTCAAACAAGGAATATTATTAGGTACCCACCACCATGTGCCCCCACCACCGGAAATCTCTAGTGAAAACAAAACTAGATACAATTTTTTGTCAACTACCTTAAAAGAGAACAGCAAAGAAAGCAGCACTATGGCACACACAAAAGACACAAGACAAAAAGGACGGATTGTGTTCTTAGGTGTAGAACCATTGATGTTGAGACAGAAAGGGAATGGAGAAAGAGGATAAGAAATAAGTTTAGATTAACCAATATATTCTAATCTAAATTGAATCTGAATGGTGTAGAAACTTTGCGATTATCTAACCACTAACATCTTACAAACTTTTCTAATTAATTAGAAAGTGACTTGTTTTCTTTCTTCTTTTTTTTTTTTTTTCAAAGATAACAATTTTATTAATTGAGTTTGAGAAACTTTTTTATTTTTAGATCGAAAAAAAAAAATGATTCTTATAAAGAGAATGAAACAGACTTATATATTACCATAAAAGAGTCCAAAAATCGATTGTAACTAAGAATTTAAATTCTATAAGCATTGAGAATATATATTTATATATTCAAAATTTGCATTACTTTTTTATTTTAGTTTTAGAATATATATATATATATTTTCTATTTCAATGAATGATAAAAATTAAACATCAATACCAAGTTAAAAAAAATGCTATAAATTATACAAAATCTGAGTTAAGCATTTTTAATGGCTATAAAATCTATTACTATCTATGTTTAAATACAACAGGAACAGTACAAACAAACATAATTATAGTTGCAACAGTGTTCAAACAAAATTATGATAATGCGGTTAAATTACTAAATAATTGGTTATATTTATAAATAATCGAACAATCAAAATTATTTTAACCTGGCGATGCAAGGATATTCTATTAATTACTAATCCAAAGTAAAACATGCAATACACTTATATCACCCACCATACTTGCAATTTTCAAGATGTAACAAATGCATCCTAAAGGTTTTTTTTTTCATCATTATTTTTTTGGAAAAAAACAGGGAAAACACAAAAATACAAGTGCAATTTATATGCAAGCACCAACTTTCATGGCATTACTAATTAAAAAAGACTCCTAAAACACTTAACCAATTTATGCAACCATATATATATATATATATATATATATATACCAAACCTCAAGCGCAGATATGCCAAACCTCACACAATTAAAAAGACTACATGCCGCCCACGTTCACGTTTTCATTAAAAAAAAAAAAAAATCCCACACCTTCTCTCTCTCTTCCTGTGATCTTTTTGTAGATAATGTGGGTCCCACAATTAATGATTCCACGTGGCTAATGGAGTGGTCCCCCACAGGAACGTCGTTGTGGATAACAATCTAAAACCGAGACAAAGGTTTTGATCCTGACACAAACGGTCAGTGTCCATCCCTAGACTGCCACGTAGGTTTCTAGACTCATCCACGTCATCGATGTTATAACCTGTGCTTTTGTATTTGTGTGATTTTAGAGGATCTGCTATCATCTTGGAATGAGTTTTAATTGGAAGCATGTAAAACGCAGGGATGAGTCTTTGAAAGTTAAGTCTATCCATGTCTTTTTAGCTCTAGCTACCTCTTTTTTGTTTTTATAATAATTTTGCGTAACCACTAAAAATTAAAAAGAAAGGAAAATTTCTACTTTTTAAAGCAACCTTGCATGTTTCTCCCACTTAAATAACTCTATCATTGATTTGCATGAATCTTATCTTTTCCTTTAAGCAACGATGACCTTATCCGGTGGTGCAAATTTTGTTTTAATATACAACCACAACGTATTTATTTTAATCATTTATGCATTACATATTGGGCATGATCAATGCATGAGATAAAGCCTCCTCCTTCTTTTTCTTAAAAAAAAAAAAAAAGGTTTTGTTCTTTTTATCCAACAATAAATCCCAACTATACAAATGGAATTACATATATGGATAAAAGAGCCAAACCTCTTATAAATTTTAACTCATTTGAAATTAAGTTTTGAAATTTTTAAATTGAATTTTAGCACGTCTTGATATTTAATTCATGTTACAATTTTTTTATTATTCATCTTAAAAATTAACAATTACATAAATAGCTTAATTATGAAAATCAGTAAAATTTATATGGAGTTCTTAAAAAAAAAAAAGATCATTATAGATTATTCTTTATATATATTTTTAATGTTCAAAAAATAAAAATAATTTCTTTTTATTTTGAGAAATACTAAGACTTTTCTAGAAAATAGATTGAATTTTTTTCAATTGCACGTGAAACTTTAGTTCAAAACTTTAAGAATTATTTTTTTTAGAGGGAAGGTTGATAATTGAAAATCATTTGATAGATTATTTTTTAAAAAATTAAAGTTTAGGGATTCTAAAAAACTTAATTTGAAGGTCATGGATTCAATTTCAAATGAGTTAAAATTCATGAGAGGTTTTATCCATTTAGTCTTAAAATATCCTTTAATGTTTGGTATGGAAGTATTTAAAATTCTCACCAAAAAATTATTTGAGATGTCTATATTTGGTATGTGAAAAAAATCATGAATGCCCAAAAAATCTACCATTTCTTACAGCATTACATTCTTTTGAAAGTAAGGAATGCGATTCCCTTTTAAGATAATGAGAACCACAATCCAAGAGCCAGAGAGCGTATTTTGAGAATAAAGATCCCTGGCATTAATGTTGATTTAGCCAATATACCTTTAATTTTTGCCAATAATAGCATAATTGTTTTAGATATTATGTCCATGCGTTTTGAATTATTTTAGTGAATAGTTATTTTAATTGATAGTAGCAATTCTATCAAATCAAATTTTTATTTTTTTATTTAAAAAATTTAAATTTTTAGTTCAATTCATTTAAATATGTTAGTTTTCAACACCAACAACATGCATTTTTATGTATATAATGTTTAAACGAAATACAAAATTTAGATATTATGAGTTTTAAGGTTAAAATGGTAAAATTATTTAAATCTCCCATGAATTTCTAAGAATGAACCAAACACAATAAAAACATACTACCATAATCTTTTTTTCAACTAAAAATAAATATCATATTAATTTCTAACAATTATATTTTAGCAATCACATTTTAGGAAGAGATTTAAGAACCCACATATCAAATGTCCTATTAATTTGATTCAACTAGTTAAGTCATTCTTCTGTATATTATTATACAATATTTGAATTTTAAAAGAGATTACAATGTCAACCAAGCTTGCACCATAATCTAAGGATAATCTAATTTAGAAAATAATAAATTTAGTAATGATTGATGTAAAATTAATAGAAAAATATCTTGTTATATGTATTAAAATAAATAAATTAAATTAATTTACATGTTCAATTAGAAAAAAAATATTTTTAAAGTATGAAATTAAAATTAGCTACATAATATGTAATTGTAAAAGGAAAAAAAAAAGGACAAGATTACAATTAGGATTCTAGGTCTATCTTATCAAAACAATTATACTGTATACAAACAAATTAATAGCATTTTCGGGCGAAGAATTTAGACGAGAAAAAAAAAACAAAAAACAAAAGGCAAAAATGATAGACAGAAAAGTCTAGGATGGTACGGTAGACGTGTCTAGCACTAGTGAGCTGGGCGCAAACAGCCCTTGCCCGTTGATACAGTCAAAAAAAAAAAAAAAAAAATTGAAAAAAGGCATCCGTGACTTTTTGGTTGCGATTTTTGGACTTTAGACCACCCGGACACGCCACGTTTCTTTTGTAAGAACTCCACGTGGCAAAGGGCTCAAAATTCCCTCCTCTCTTTCTTAAATTTTTGCATACGAAAAAAAAATATTTCATTGAGTAAACTATATTTTAGTTCCTAAAGGTTCAACAATACCACATCCCTAAAGACGTGGTGTTGTTGATGCTCCCAGCCTGGCCGAATATATGACTGCTCATATTCGGCTCAATAAAACGATACTATATTTCCCCAAGAAATGGCCCAACAAAGACGTAAACGAGCCGAGTCGAGTCGAATCGATTATATATAATTGCTCATATTCAGCTTGATAATATTAGCATGTTTGATGTGAGAGTTTGAAAGCTTTGAAAAAGAATTTAGTTCAGCAAAATGGAAGTAAAAAATAGATTTTCTTCATAATTGATATTCATGCCACTGATATTTATAGTAAAACCATTAAAATGTATTATATCATTTATGTTTGCAAAGTAAGATTTGGGACAAATCAAGAAAAATAAACTGTTTTAACTTCTTATCAAATGTCAAAATAAAATAATAATAAGATTTTTATTTAGCAGATAATGTTTCGAATCCATTACATCAATTTTTTTTTTAATGTATTCTAAAGATAATATATGTGCAATGACGTTGTCATAATATCTATATTTATCGTTATGTACTTCAAAACTTTATGTTTAGTGAAATTCATTATTATTTGATTTATTTATTATGTAGATTAGATTCATACTAAATCAACAAAAAATATCATGAGTTGACACATAATCAATTAAACCACTTAATTTTTTATAGACAAATCAAGCACATACATATAGTAAAAAGAAAAGAAAACTCAAACTTGCAATTAAATTCTGAGAGTAATTTCAGAATGAGCTGCCAAATTAAACTTTTTGAAAAATATGAGGTCAATATCGTTAAATTATAAAATACCAGTAGCCAAAGTGAAAACTGAGGTTAATTAATATGAGAAAAATATAAAAATATATAGTTAATATATATCCAAGATAATTTGAGAGCGTTGTAAGTTGCTATCTCTACACGTGCCAGCCGTGTAGAGAGCGTAGATATCTATCTGCTTCCTACTAGTTCACAGTTCATGACCGAGTAAGCGTACCTAAGCTGTAAAGCTAAACCACACACGTGTCTTCCTCTTTATTTCCTTTCTTTGACAAAGATTTTTCTTGTTTTGTTTTAAATTGTTTTTCTTCTTCTATTATTATTATTATTATTTATTGCTCCTGATCCACGCAATTTATTTATATTTATTGCCGTGAATAAATATATATTAATTGGTGTAGTCGAATATATCTTCTTATCTTTTTAGGATAACCAACGTTATTCTCTGAAACGTAATCTCAAATTAAATGTCAAAATATCAAATAAAAGATAATTAGACCAACAAATCAAATGTTATCTTGTTTCGTACCAAAAAAAAAAAGAATTGGCATCATATATCTATAAAATACTAGTAATTTAATATGTTATTTTAAAATAAAATTCTTTAAATCATTCTACGCATTTTATTTTTTTAATATGAAAGTTTTGTTGGTGCTCTGTATATTATCGATATTGTATTTAGTATAATTTTGGAAACCTTAAAGGTATTCGATTCCAATGTATACATATCAATTCCTAAAAATCAGACTGGATTATTTTCCAATTTAGTGAATCGTCACCACAAATATGGTTTATGGAAATTGAGAGGATTCTGCGAATGGTCTAAGAAAAAGGGGATGCAATTTCCCTATATTACAAATTACAAATATTAATTACTTATCAGTCAAATATCTATAAAAACAACCAAAATTTAATACCTCAGAATTAAAGAACGTGGTCTCTTTATTTACCGCCCAATCCAGTAACATACAGAACCAGAAAGTAACTGGCTATTATCGGTAAACAAATCGAAGACTAAACCAATAGTCGGTTACAGTCCAGTTAATGTGGACCCCACCAACGCTGATGCAAACCTCAAATCAAATCTCAACCGTCCAATCCACCTCATTAATTAGCACATATAAATACCACTTCTCCTCCCTCGTATCGGTCTTTCCTTCGTTCTTATCCTTCCTTCTTCTTAAAGATTTATTTTCTTTCCAAAATAGAGAGCTCTCTCTTCTCACTATAATGGAAATTAAATCAGCCAATCTATATCTTCTCTCTAAATTTTTTATATAAACATAATCTTCTCTTTCTTTTTTCTCTTCATTATTAACCAACCTAAAAGCAATATCCCCCTCTCTGTTTCTCTCTCTCGCTTTTCTTGTTTTTTTTCTCTTTTGTTATCGTGGTTTCTTGATATATCATTTTTTTTTTTGTTTCGTTGATTTGAAAATAATATGATAACACAGTCTTGTAAAGACAGCTTGGATATGATTTCCGTTAATGATTTTCGCGTTGTGGACCGAATTCCTCGTGTGATGAATGTACCGGGAGTTTTTTCGGAATTCGAGGTTGGTGAACATGATGATGAAGGTGTAACCAGTCCTGTCGTGTCAAAACCACGACGAATCATTGTGGCGAATCAGCTACCGTTAAAAGGGTATAGAAATCAAGAAACAAAAGGTTGGTTTTTTGAACTTGATAGTGATAGTCTTGTATTGCACTTACAAGATGGATTTCCTGCTAATTCAGAAGTTTGGTACGTGGGGTTATTGAGGGTTGATGTTGAAAAGGAAGATCAAGATGAGGTTGCAAACTTGCTATTTTACAAGTTTAAATGTGTTCCTGTTTTCTTGACTGATGATCAAGAGAACAAGTATTATCATGGCTTTTGTAAGCATTATTTATGGCCTTTGTTTCATTATATGTTGCCTTTGTCACCTAGTCATGGTGGTGTACGTTTTGATAGGTCCCTTTGGGAGGGGTATATAGTAGTTAATAGGATATTTGCAAATAAAGTTACTGAGATTTTGAGGCCTGATGAGGATTCTGTTTGGGTGCATGATTATCATCTTATGGTGTTGCCTACTTTCTTGAGGAAGAGGTTCAACAGAGTTAAACTTGGCTTCTTCTTGCATAGTCCGTTCCCGTCATCTGAGATATATAGGACTATAACTGTTAGGGAGGAGATTCTGAGGTCTCTTTTGAATTGTGATCTTATTGGATTTCATACTTTTGATTATGCCAGGCATTTCTTGTCATGTTGTAGTAGGATGTTGGGTATTGATTATCAATGCAAAAGGGGTTACATTGGTCTAGACTACTGTGGTAAGACTATCAGTATCAAGATCTTGCCTGGGGGGATTCATATGGGACAGCTTGAGTCGCTTTTGAATATGGAGAAGACTGCTGCTTTGGCCAAACAGTTGAAGGAGAAATTTGAAGGGAAAGTTGTGATGATCGGTGTGGATGATTTGGATTTGTTTAAAGGTATTAGCTTGAAGTTTGCAGCGATGGGGAGACTTTTGGAAATGCGGCCGGAATTGGTAGGGAAAGTGGTATTAGTCCAGATTGCTAATCCGGCCAGAAGTCAGGGTAAGGACGTGCAAGAAGTCCAAAAAGAAACCAGTCTCATTGCTCAGCAGATCAATCATAAGTATGGTGACGAAGGTTATCAGCCGATTGTTTTCATTAATGGTCCAGTTAGCACTCTAGAGAAAGCAGCATACTATGCCATATCTGAATGTTGTGTGGTTAATGCTGTAAGGGATGGGATGAATTTGGTTTCGTATAAATACACGGTTTGTAGGCAGGGGAGCCCTGTTCTAGACAAGGCATTGGGGATTGATGAATCGTATCTAAGGAAAAGTTTCCTAATTGTGTCAGAATTCATTGGTTGCTCGCCGTCTCTCAGCGGGGCATATCGTGTCAATCCTTGGGATATATGTGCTGTGGCCGATGCCATGTATGTGGGTATCCACATGAAGGATGAAGAGAAACATTTGCGCCATGAGAAGCACTATAAGTATATCAGCTCTCACGATGTTGCTTTTTGGGCGAGGAGTTTTGATCAGGATCTTGAGAGGGCTTGCAGAGAGCATTATCTCAAGAGGTATTACAATGTTGGATTTGGTTTGAATTTCAGGGTTGCTGCTGTGGGAACGAATTTTAGGGTGCTTACGGGTGAAAGAATCGCTGCTGCCTATAACAATACAAACAGCCGCCTAATCCTTTTAGACTATGACGGCACAATGATGCCACAGGCTGCTGTTGACAAGACACCTAGAAATGAAGTTATTTCAATCTTGAATTGCTTATGCAGTGATCCCAAAAACATTGTTTTCATCGTGAGTGGCAGAGGAAGGGATTCTCTAAGCAAGTGGTTCTCTCCATGTGAGAAGTTGGGTATTTCAGCTGAGCATGGTTACTTTACTAGGTACTTTCTTGTATTTCATTACCTTATGTGATGCCTGGATTTGGGTGTTATCTATTTTAGCTCTTGACGATCTTGTTTACTGTGTTTTAGGTGGACAAAGAATTCTCCATGGGAGACTTGCTCGGCGACAGTGGATTGTGATTGGAAAAAGATTGTCGAACCTGTCATGGAGCTCTATACCCAGACAACTGATGGGTCTTTCATAGAGCACAAAGAAAGTGCTCTGGTGTGGCATCATCGAGACGCAGACCCTGATTTTGGCAGCTGCCAGGCTAAAGAGCTTCTTGATCACTTGGAGAGTGTCCTTGCTAACGAGCCTGTGGTTGTTAAAAGGGGCCAGCAGATTGTCGAGGTGAATCCACAGGTATGAAACACATTGAACTATTTTCAATTGGGTATTTATGTGCAGCCACTGGTGGTTTGATATTCTGAAAAAAGGACAGAAAGATGTGCTTTAACTTTTAAGCCTATCAACTTCTAAATTGCACTAGTCATTGAAGTTCAAATGGAGAAAGAAATTTGCTTTATGAATGCGAAAATATGTGGGCCGTGGTTATTTTTGGTATAACTGTATTTTTGTATGTTTTTCGTAATTCAAGAGGCATGTGCACTGTTGATTAATTTGTGCAGGATTTGGTGGCTTCGTAAATGGGAAGCTGGGTTATGATTCTCGATTCCACGTAAAAATCTGGAGAAGCTGGGTTATTTATTCTTGACATTTCTTTTTTCGTGAATTTCAGGGAGTAAGCAAAGGTGTAGTTGTGGAAAACCTTATTTCAACCATGCGAAGTAAGGGCATGTCACCGGATTTCCTGTTCTGCATCGGCGATGATAGGTCAGACGAGGACATGTTCGAGAGCATTGCAAGACTTGTTGACAATCTGTCATTGCCACCCATCGCAGAAGTGTTTGCCTGCACTGTTGGTCATAAGCCTAGCAAGGCAAAATACTATCTTGATGATACGCCTGAAGTCATCAAGTTGCTTCAAGGCCTTGCTACAGCATCAGGAGGACCAAAGCATGCACACACGCAGGAAGACGAGTATGTCTAAAATGACCATAGGGAAACAGAACTAGGAAAACATGGGCCATGAGTTTGGAGCTCTGGTTTTTGCTCCATTATCTCATCCATGTTTATTAGCAAGGAGGAAGGTATTGATCTAGTGCTAATCAAATGATACAGCAAGACTTTGTATAGTAGATAGTTTTTACTTTTTACAGCCACAGGTTCATCTTAAAATTCAGTGCCTGAAATTGACAAGATGACAGATTCATGTTCTTTCTTTTATTTGAAGGCAAATTTTCATTTCATGGCATGTTGTTCTTTTTTTCCTTCTCCTTTCTGCTTCCCTTCTTTAGTTGTAGATGTAACTCTGATATGATAACAAGACTCATATGGTAGCTCTGATGTAATTTTCAGGATAAATGAATAAATTTGTAAAACCAAAAGAAAGTAGGCGGCTGACTCTTCCACGAAACCCAGAGATAAAACCAACACAAGGCAAATTGAATGGTGAAATTATATCTGGTCAGACTTGAAAGTGTGCAATTATTTTTGCTCCGACCTTTTCCTGGTAGTATTGTTGTTTAGATAGTGATTGTTCTTTACCAACATAAACGACCACTTCCATAATTCTCATGTTGGATAAAAATTGTGAAAAACCATTCATTCAGAAATCAGAATTTTCCTTGGTCTTTTGCTCTACCCTGACGTTTCTGAATTATAGGCTATAGCACAGCTCTTGTCAAAAAATTATATGGCTAGGCCTGCTTATAGTCAAATCTCACAACACAAGAGATTTGCCTCCATCCATCTCATTGGAAGATTTGGTCCGCAGTCACAGTTTTTGTGTTTGTTCAAGATCCAAGATAATCTCCAATGTTAATGTTTCTTATCACATTTGGAATTCAAGGGGCTCCATATCCAACTTTGCAGCCTAATCTAATTAATAAATCAATCAGCTTCATTTTGAATTGTCTAATAATCTTCAACTTTGGCGTTCTCCTTTCCATATTCTTTACCAATCAAATGCATTCCTATTGTCAAAGATGGTATGATTGAGTGTGACAATCCTTTGAAAGCAAGATAATTTAAACAGTTTATTTGCTTCCTTTAACTACTTTGAATAGTCAATTTCATTTGTGCTATAAATGACCAGGTATATACAAGTTTTTCTGCCTCATACTTGGTGCCTCCTTACAGTTCGTCCCCTATAATGTAACTCTTGAATTATTTATTTATTTATTTATTTAATAATTTGGGAAATTGGAAAGGATATTGCTAAATTCATTACCAAACTTGTTATTTCTACCGCTTGTTTATTGAAAATTACTAATGCAGTATTTTCATTAGTTATAGTTATTGTACATGAAAACTAAAAAAAATTGAAAAACAAAAATATTGATGGACATTTCAGATATTTAATATAAAATACATTAAATTATGATATAATAACAAATCTTGATGGCACTGTGTTAGTAATTTTTTTTTAAAAAAAGTGGTGGGAATAATAAATTTGATGGTATCAACTATCAAACTCTTACGTCCCACTTCCCTGCCTATTGGATTTGCTCACTCTTTTGATTTTTCTGAATTCCAAGTTAGAGATTTAGAAAAGGAAATGTGGTGTCTAATATTGGCGTAGCAAGAGAGCATGGAATTGAAGGATGGTTTGAATCCAAGCTTGTAATTGCCTTTTAAGATACAACCCAGAAAACAAAAATGGTTGCATGTAGACTGTAGTGAAGGACCTATTGTCAGAATTGCCTAAAGCCACATCCTAATATCAATACCATATGAACCCTCTTGCTTATTCAATTAACAAGCTAAATTTTCAGTCTTTTTCTTCATCAATGAATGACCAAACTTTCAATTATCAGACCTGTCAAAGGTTCAGCAGTGCATCCTTTGGAACTTCTCAAGTCAGCATTGAGAGGCCTGCAAAATAGTCGAAGACTTCTCAAAAGGCTTCTCCTTCTTCCTCATCTCATATTATATCTTTTCACAACTCTAATTCTCCTTTAGCTACAAGCCTAGTTCTTCTCAACGACAACAAATCTACGGCTTGGGAAACTCAACTCATTCTTGTAGGATCTGATGGATATATAAATTACGAATATGATGTAGCATGTTATGAGCAAGGTAGAAACCCGGAAAGAAGGGTAGAGGAGACTGACGTTTACTTATTACTTATACTGACCAAAGCTTAACAAAACAGGGCCATGTTGACTGGTTCAAAAGTTTCATAATTTAAGACTCAAAGTTGTTATACATGTCAATAAGAGCAATCCCAAGGAAAACCCAAAGTTCAAACCCTTTCTTTAGTGCATAATCATGAAGCCATCAACCTAATTTTAGACTCCTCAACTGAAAACACGCCTATAAAATCATTTGGCTTCACATTAGCAAGCAACATTCTCTGAAACAATTCAAATGCCTCATGATCGAGGTCATTGGTTTCTGACATACCCAATTACCTATTGATTATTGCAATCTACGAAACAACATATCCAGATCTCCACAAGTAACAAGTCTGACAATCGAAGTGGTCTACGAAACCACATTTCAAAAGAACAAACGAGCCCCTTAGCAAATCTCTCGTCTCCGCACCCATCTTTTATGCAGCTTGGTCAAGCGAATAGTACCATATCTGTACTAAGGATTGGCCAAATTGCTAACTTACCTAGGGCAATGATACAATTCAAGATTCCAATCATAAGTAGGGATCACAATCGACTAGGTACAAAGCAGGTACCCTACCCAGTCCAATTTACCCATTAATTATTCTTTAAAAATGCTTGAATGGATAATCAGCCAAATATAGATAAAATAATATTATTTATTTATGTTAATAAGCAATTAATTCATAAATATGGGTATTTCCTTTTTACCTTGTTGCTACCCATTACTTATCCATTAGCATAAAAAAAAAATAAATAAATAAATAAAAAAAATTAAAATAAACAAAAGAAAAAAAAAAAGAAAGCAAAGCACCATGGCACAAAAATCGCTAAAGGCCACAGCCTAACCACCTCCTCTCCTCCATCACAAAAAGAGAAAGAGGGATGATATTACTATCAATGATGATGATCATGGTGATTATGTTAGTCAAGACTTACTTGCCTTAATTGATTTCAGAATGATATCATCATCCCTTAAAATAGATATTTCTACTCCAATATCCTTTGCCAATGATGTTGATGCTATTAAAGATGATGTCTTTTAAGACATGTTTCTTTTGTTTGATTTCGATGGGATGTGTTTTGCTGAAACACCTTCGATGATGATCGCATAGTGCTTAGAGGAAGGGGATGATGATGTATTACAAGACATGCTTCTTTTATTTGATTTCCATGGGATGTGCTATGCTGAAAGACCCTTTGATGGTCATACCATGACAAGATGATGATGATGATTATGAAAAGGAGGAGGAGAGCTTATAGGGGATTCTTACCTTATTCAAATCTTGAAGGATGCCAACCTACCTAGCTATTTAAAGAAATTGATCGATTGAAATTATTCTGATTCAACCCTTTTTATGCATTTTTTATTTATTAAATAGACATTTCCTTATGTTTTTTTTTTTAAAGATTAGTTAACTTCTAAGTACATTGTATTAAAAAAATAGGTATATCTTTATCTTACGTTTTTACCAAAAAAAGAACAAAAAAGGAGAAATTACACCCTCCATATGTAGGTATCAATATTGGTGTTAGATTTTAACTTTTGGTTGTATAGTAGATACAATATAAATATTATTTAATTATATAAAAAAATACATATTTACCTAATAAGTTGTGCTACTAATTTTTGTGAAAATTTATATATTTGAATAATAAGTTATTCGAGTTCAATATTGTTCTTTTTATAAAAAAGAGTTTGTAACAAATAATAGTTTTCAATAAAAAAAAGTTTGAAAAAAAAAATTAGTGCCCATCAACTCGTAGAATTTTAAAGAAGTTGGAATTAAAGTAAGCAACTCAATTGATGAAAACTCTTATGTTGCATGCAATTTCATTCAAGAAAAAGAAAATAAAAAAAGTTATTCTTCAATGGAATTACAAGAAATCTAAAAGAATTCCATAGAGAAAATACATAGAGAAGAATGCCAAAATTACCAAGAGTGGCTATAATGTTTCTCCTTTTTAATTTTAGCTCGAGGTAAAGGTAATGGGTTCAATGACCCTAGTATGACTATATTTTCATACTTTACATTGCTAGCAAGTAGGACGAGTTTTGAACATACTTGCCTCACATTCATTGCCAATCCTTTCCAATAAAACAATATTGCTACCTTCTTAGTTATAGCCATTAATCTAGAATACCCTTCAACTGCAGAATCATGAAACAAGAAAATTAATTTCTTTTGTAATTACATATCATTTCTAATAACCAATCTCTCCTTTCTTCTTAGTTGTTGATCTTGCCATGCAGATTATGGGTGGTTTACCTCGAAGTTTATAATTGTGTAGAAACAATCTTTAAGGTAAGATCTAAACTCCATGATGTCCGAATCTTTGTTGTCAATTCTATAGATATAAAAGGTGCATCTATAACATATCTTTCCACCTTTGAAAAAGCATAATCAACCTCATTTTTCTTCTCTTTTTTATAGACAATTTCATTATCATATTTCATAAACTTAACCAACTAAATAAGTTGCTCAACTGTATAAATCCTTTGTTCTAGCAAATGTTTTAAATTTTGATGGTTAGTGCTAATGATAAAATGTTTGTTAGTTAGATACCGATGTCATTTCTTAACGAGTATACACTATGACAAAAAAAAAAAAAACTATTTCTCATAGATAAACATAGCTTGATGTTTAAGAGAAAGTAATTTACTAATATAAGCTACTTGGATGTCTTTTTTGCATTTAAAATATCAATAATTCCTATCCTAGATGCATCAATCTCAATGAAAAATTCCTTAAACAGAATAGGTAATGCCAAGACAAAGGTGGTAACCATTGCTTGCTTCAATTCAAAAAATGCCAATTCAAGCAAGCATCATTTCATAAAAAAGTATCCTTCTTTAATAAATCATTTGAAGGCCTTGCTATCTTTTTTTTTAATTCTACATAAAATGCCTATAATACCTAATGAGACCTAAAAACCCTCTTAATTGTTTAAAGGTGGTAGGTATAGTTAGTTATGTGTAGTTTCAATCTTTTTAGGATTAGTTTGAACTCTTTCTTATGAAATGTAATGTCCTTAATACTCCATACTTGAAATGTCAAAGATGTACTTTAACTTTTTAGTGAACCAGACATTTTTTCTTAGTAAAGATAGGGTAGTTTTCAAATGATGCACATAATCTTTTAAATTTTTGCTAAGAATTAATATGTCATCAAAGAAAACTAAAATGAATTTTCTAAAGAATGATTTGAAAATATCATTCATTAAAGATTGAAATGTTCTAGAGGCATTTGTCAAACCAAAAGGCATCAATAAATATTCATAGTGGTCATTATGTGTTTTAAAAATAGTTTTTAAAATATTAACGAGATTCATTCTTATTTGATGATATCCAATTCGCAAGTATAATTTTGAAAAAAATAATAGAGCTCTATAATTCATTTTATAGTTATGCATGATTCATTCTTATTTAATGATATCTAGTTCACAAATATAATTTTGAAAAAATAGTAGAGCTCTACAATTAATAGTAGAAGAATGATAGGAATGGAGAACTAATCTTTCATAGTCATTTGATTCAATTTTCTATAGTCAACATACATTCTTCAGGTATTATTTTTCTTTCTCACCAATACCCCTAGAGAGAAAAAATGATTAATACTAGATTGTATAATTTCACTCTTTTTAATATCTCTTAAACCTATTTTTCAATCTTATTCTTTTGAAAAAAAAGGTATCCGTAGAGCCTCATGCTCACAGACTTTTGACCCCTCTTTTAAAATTATCCTATGATCATGAATCCTTTGTAAGGGTAATCCTTATGGTTCTTAAAAACCATCAACAAACATTTCGAACACTACCTTTAATTCTATTGGAATATGTTCTTTTATTTTTGCTATTCGAGTTTTTCACATTCAATTCCTCAAAATCAACTATATGAGTTAATTGTAGCCAATTTAGTTGTTACTCGTTCATAGATGATCTTATCATTTTTATTTTCTTCCGTACTCTAAAAATCAAGTTTACACACTTTTCTTGCAACACAAACTATTTTTTCTCAAAAAACTTCATCCTTATTGTTATTATCCAAATTTTTACCCTTATTGCTTTTACTTCAATTTTTATTTTTGTTACAAAATAAAAAAAAAAAAAAAGAACAAAAAAAAACAAAAAAATGAAAAATAAATAAATAAATAAAGGAAAAGAAAAAACCAATTGGGATAATTAGCTAAGATTAATTCTAGAAAAGGGCATAGTTGAGAAAAAATAAAATTTTAGAAGTAACAAAAGGAGCAATTGAGGGTCCAATTAAAAAATAAAAAATTATGGCCTTTGATTAAAATAAGGAAGGGGCATAATTTAAAGGAACCAAAAAGAAAAATCTCAATTAATTGAGATTTGGAGGGCCTATCGAAATAAAAACCAAAATTAAACTCAAGTTGATGGATGATAAAGGACTAGGGACCAAATTAGAATTTTACCATAAAAAAACCCTACCTATAAAAGCCACTCCCATGCATTTTTAAGGACGAGCAAATGTTCATCTCTTTTATTTTTTGAAAAACCTTTTCAACCACCATAAACACACCATAACCGGTCTCTATCTCGCCTTCACCCACACACACAAATTTTCCCTCACCCGAATAGCCCCACTTACGCCGACCTCACAACCCTCTCGTCGACCCTCTCCCTCGCTCAAACCACGAGCTAGCCAGCCCTCTCTCTTTTGTAACTTTAGCATGCACCGGTTATTACTTAGCCGTACCTCACCTCCATGCAGTAACTCTAGCTCGTCTTGCCCACACGACCAAGCCTCGCTCACGTGTGTGCTAGCCCTCACTTCAGCTAGCATCGTTAGCCTTTTTTGCTCGACCGGCCTCACCCAAACACACCCGACCAGCCCACATCTTTCCTCACACTCATCCCCACGGACGTCACACATCGCCTAGCCATCCTCACCCCTCGTGCACCAGCCATCCCTTACGCTTGCTCTCTTCCTCTCGCCCGTATCTCTCGCACCGACCTCACGTCATAGCCTCGCATGCTTACTTTCTCCCTCTCGCTCATACCTCTTGCACTAGCCTCATACTACAGCCCCTCCACACATGCTCTCTCTCTTTCGCCCATAACTCTCACACCAACACCCTCAAGCCCCATAATCCACGACTCCAACCATCTTTATGCCCACACACATAATAACCCCACTCCAGACCTCACCTTCGACCCACTTAAAGCCCTTACTCTAGACTCCAAAACCCATAATAGAACTAGCCTTCTTCAAAGCCCTAAAACCAGCCTTTAAAGTAGCTACAACTAGACATATAAAGCTCCCACAAGTAACCCCAAAATAGACCCGAAAACTCACTAAAAACCCTTCAAAATCAGCTATGCAATTGTTACTCACAATCCCCAAAAACCCTTACAAAGAAACCATTTCGGATAGCCTATTTAAACCATCAAAGTAGCCCTAAAACACCCTCAAATCAACTTTAAAAAAATCCAAAAAAACACCTAAAACACCCTCCAAAATAGCTGTAAAATCTCCCTCAAAACAGACTTCATTAAACACTTTCTTGATTATTGAAAAAAGAGAAAATAAGGGTAAGAAAAAAAAAGAGATTAAAATTTTTTATCATGTTGGATTGTTTTGGTAGAAACAACATGATGTTGTAGACTCGTGTTTGCTCAATTTTTTTGATAGAAAAACAAGCTATAGAACTCACGTGGCATATTCAAGAATCTTGTAAAATTTACAACCAAGAAAATGAAGATTTTTTTAACCACCCCAACAATACTCATCTTCATATTATCGACCGGTAGTTACCCTTCTTTCTTGGCTAATCAAATATTCAATTATCATTGAGATCGAAGAGGGTAGGATTGATTCTCGATCAAACATTGACGTTTCGGAATTTTTAGGTAAAAATCCTAAAACCATGATATTTTAAAATAATAATAATAATAAAGGTTAAAAATGATTGGTGTGCTTCGAATGTGTTTAAAATTATGATGTTTGGATTGAATGTGGTTAAAATGAAACTTATTGCAATGACTGATAAAATATCTTGTTTTCCTATTATCATGCCTACTTGTTTTAACGCGATATTTATGCTATTTTGGTGTTTTAATTAACTATCCATGATTGATTGCAATATACAATGAAGTTGTTGGTGGCTTTCGACTTATGTGATGAAGCCATCGATGGTTTGAAATCATTATCTAGTGTTTGGTCCTTGTTTTCGCTGCTTTTTACTTTCAATCCCGAGTTGCTTGTTTTTCATTTTTCATTGTTTATTTCATCAAAATGAAGTTATCGGTGGCTTCCCACTTATGTGATGAAATCGCTAGTGGCTTCGAAAATAATTTTTCATTTATTGTCTATTTGTTTGAAATGAAGTCGCCAATAGTTTTCCATTTATATGACGAAGTCACCTGGTGGCTTCTAAATAGTTATCTACTCTTTACCCGAGCTAAATAAAGTGATTAATAACTTTTAACTTATGTGATGAGGTTATCGCTAGCTTTAAACTAATGACTTGAAGTTGTCGATGGCTTCTTACTTGTATGAGCGAAGTCGTCGGTGACTCCGTAATGCTCCCGTCCCGGTTATATTTCTACTACCCAAGTAAGGTACTCGAACGAAGCGCGTTATGCCGACATACCCTAAACTCTAAGTAGTGTTCTTATGATATTCTTAGGACTTTAACAAGTACATTACGTATATAACTCCTTAAGATAAAATTCACATAACATAATTAAATACATTAATAAAACATTACAGGCGATATTCAATTTCTCACGAACTCCATACTCTAAATTTACGGATAAAATAAAAACTAATATATGGTGCCTCACATGAGCCAATTAGGAGGAGCCAGCCGCATCCGTACCAACTTGTCCTTTTTCATCAAGACATAAAAAAATAACAACGAGGTGAGCCGAAGCTCGGTAAGCGAGGTGATGCACGTGATATATAATGTTGTTTTGACTTCCCACCATACTTATAAATTTTAATCTCGGATACCACAGGTATTAGCCGATCTACTCTATTTATCATCCGGGTGGTCCGCAGATCACCTTCTCGCTACAACGGAATTATCCCTCGTTGTAACTACCGTTAGTGAGAATCCATCGTCTAACGAGTGCAAGCACACAGACTTGATTTCATCTAGATGATCCTCGAATCATCTTCTGCTACGACGGAATTATCCCTCGTTGTAACTACTATTAGCGAAAATCCATCGTCTAATAGTGCAGGCATACATCCTAGAGTACCTGGACTACTAATACCCATTTATTCCAGTTAGGTTATCAAACCTAGATGTATAAACCATTTTTCAATCAATTGACTTGTTTTAAACCACCCACTATGCACATGATGCACGTGATGACATATTTAATCACATTCAACCAAATTCGGGTACCAACCCTTCATTCTCATGCCATACTCATGGTCCAACCCACACTCGGAATTTATCCATTTCTCACATACCAATCATGATACCCACAACGAGAACACAATCTCCGCTCATTAATATTGTTCATTAGTTTCATTAATATTTAAAAGAAGGTCCAAGTCCATTTACTTTAATCCGAGCCCATTAACTTTATCCTAGGTCCATTGTCTCTATTTAATTCCATTTTATTTAGTCCAAGCTCATTTAGTTTATTCCAAACCTATTAATTTTGTCAAAGTCTAATTTTTTTGGTTTTAAGGTTTATTACCGGACAACTCCTAATCGAGTAAATAATTTTCTAATTTCAGAACGTAATTAAATCTTACTCATTTTATTTTAGATACTGACATATTTATTTATAACATATCCAAAAATTAGGTCTAAATACCAAGTACATAATTAATTACAAATTTTTGAAACTTAGGGAGCAATCTGCCTAATAGTAGTTTATCTAGAGCTATCCATACTAAATCGGGTGTAACTCTTTGTACACGAATCCAATGACCAAGAAATTTTAAAGGAAGTTAGCTGAAACATAGATGAACAACGTTTATGCTTTAAGTTTCACCTAGAAATCGATCTAAAAGCCTTGAACATACACCCTAAAATTCGGACAGAATTTACTCCTTATCAACACTAATTTATTAGTTCATTCCAAGCCAACTTTAAACATGTTTTAGTTCACTTAAATTTAGTCCAAGTTTAATCCAACCCATCACCACATACTTGGACGTTTTTCAAAAAATCATAACATCATAAATCATTACAACAAGGCATCCATACATAGATTTATCCCAAGCATTAAGCATATAACCATTGAAAATTATTACAACCCGTGAAATAAACACTAACAAAATAACTTAAAAAAAATAATTTAAGACATTAATCAGCCAAAAAAATGAAACCTACTTACCACTTTTAGGTTTGATTAGAATTTCCTTAGCTCTTTTCCTTTTCTTTTTCTCTTTCTTTTTTCTTTCCTTTCCTTTCTCTCCTCATGTTTTTCTTCCTCTCTTTTCTTTCTTGCCTTTTCTCTCTCAATTTTTGGTACCTACCGGTTACTAAAATTTTTCTCCCATTTTAACACTTTATATATATATATATATATATATATATATACTTACTTTCATTCAGCTACAAGTGTTAGAAATTAATGGGATAAGGTGTAAAGGTTATGGGTGAGTTATGAGGAAAGTCGGTCGCTTTGGAATCCATAATGGGTGAGTTGGCATTAAATTCATTTATTGTATTTACTTAGTTTCTATATAAAATTTAGACTAATTAAAATTATTAATTAACTTAATTCAAGTAACTAAAACTACTTTCTTTCATAAAAATTTAGAAATTTTCATTTTTAAAAATTCGAAATTTCTTTTCCCCCCAAAATTCCAGTAGTGTTTCCTCCTAACCCATCTATACTAAAATGTGCATAACTCTTTCTATATGTATCAAACAATTATGAAATTTTATATAGAGCTATTAAACACGTAGAAAAACAACTTTTATTCTTTAAGTTTTGCTCAAAAATTAATCTAACAGCATCAAATAAATCTCACAAGATTCGGGCAGATTCTTCTCCCAAAATTTCAGCGAGAATGCATTTCGAAACAACCCTCACTGTAATTGGTATAACTCTTAATGTATAGGTCTAACTATTATAAAATTTTATACAGATCTATTCAACATATAGATGAACAACTTTCATTCTTTAAGGTTGACCCAAAAAGTACCCTAAAGTCCTCAAATAATTCACATAAAACTCAGGCGTGAATATAGTCCTTAAAATACTCGATTTTGCATATTTGATTTCTTTAATAATTAAACCATTAATCTTAAGCAAAATAACTTTAATTTAATATAAATCACATATTTCAAGAATTAATTTCTTATGATGAAATGATAATTATACTTACTCTTAATATACATATATATAGAATTATTCTAATACACGTCGTATTACGGATAAGGGTTTTTACAAGGGTTACGGACTCGTCGCTCATGTCAATAAAAGGCTATTCATCTTCAGAAACTCACCTATTGGTTGATAATAGGTCGTGTTCATTAATAATTTATCAAAATTCTAAATTTCTTCACCTTTTCTTGTTAGGTGGGGAGTATTGGCCTTAGACAAGCCTCGAACTCACAAACTATCCCGTTTTTACACTCGAACCATCCCGTTTCTTATTTTTGCAAAATAAACTCACTTAAATAAGCATAAGAGCATAGCACAATAAAAACCTAGGCTTTATATTCATAGGAAAAAATACAGCATACCTTAAATAGGACATGATGATGGTGATGTCATATCTTTTTCATACATAATCGACCCTGTATCTAAATATCTATGTGGAACATAATGCTTGCAGATCATGACTTAAAATTCACAATAATTGTT